TCTGGATTTAAGTGATGACAGTAGGGATAAAAAAAGAAATAAAAATTACAGCCTGGGCAACATAATGAGACCCTGTCTCTACAAAAAATAAAAATAAGCGGCCGGGCGCGGTGGCTCAAGCCTGTAATCCCAGCACTTTGGGAGGCCGAGGCGGGTGGATCACGAGGTCAGGAGATCGAGACCATCCTGGTCAACACGGTGAAACCCCGTCTCTACTAAAAATGCAAAAAATTAGCTGGGCATGGTGGCGCGTGCCTGTAATCCCAGCTACTCAGGAGGCTGAGGCAGGAGAATTGCCTGAACCCAGGAGGCGGAGGTTGCGGTGAGCCGAGATCGCACCATTGCACTCCAGCCTGGGTAACAAGAGTGAAACTCCGTCTCAAAAATAAATAAATAAATAAATAAAAATAAAAATAAAAATAAAAAAATAATTATCAATGTGTGACGGCTCACTCCTGTAGTCCCAGCTACTGGGGCGGGGGTTGGAGTTGGCTGAGGTGGGAGGATCGCTTCAGCTCAGGAGATGGAGGCTGCAGTGAGCAGTGATCGCGCCACTGCATTCTAGCCTGAACGACATAGGGAGACCCTGTCTCAAAAAAATAAACAGGCCGGGCGCGGTGACTCAAGCCTGTAATCCAGCACTTTAGGAGGCCGAGGCGGGTGGATCACGAGGTCGAGAGATCGAGACCATCCTGGTCAACATGGTGAAACCCCGTCTCTACTAAAAATACAAAAATCTAGCTGGGCGTGGTGGCATGTGCCTCTAATCCCAGCTACTTAGGAGGCTGAGGCAGGAGAATTGCTTGAGCCCCCAGGAGGCAGAGGTTGCGGTGAGCCGAGATCGCGCCATTGCACTCCAGCCTGGGTAACAAGAGCGAAACTCCGTCTCAAAAAAAAAAAAACAAAAAAACAAAAAAATAATAAACAGAAGTAAAAAATATTTGATAGCCGGGCGCGGTGGCTCAAGCCTGTAATCCCAGCACTTTGGGAGGCTGAGGCGGGTGGATCACGAGGTCAGGAGATCGAGACCATCCTGGTCAACAAGGTGAAACCCTGTCTCTACTAAAAATACAAAAAATTAGCTGGGCATGGTGGCTCGTGCCTGTAATCCCAGCTACTCAGGAGGCTGAGGCAGGAGAATTGCCTGAACCCAGGAGGCGGAGGTTGCGGTGAGCCGAGATCGTGCCATTGCACTCCAGCCTGGGTAACAAGAGCGAAACTCCGTCTCAAAAAAAAAAAAAAAATATTTGAGGTAGTTTTTGGAGAATAAAAGGGACTTGCTGATGGACTGAACAATGAGGAATGGAGAGGGAGAAATCAAGAGGAAATCCCGGGGATAAAGTGTTCGGTTTGGGTTTACCACGCAATGTCAAGTTGCTGCCTAGACAAATGGATACATTAGTCTGGAGCTCAGACAACACACTGCTGGACTGAAGATGTGAATTGGGAGCATATAAATGTGAATTTGGACCAGGCTCGGTGGCTCATTCCTGTAATCCCAGCACGTTGGGAGGCTGAGGCAGGCAGATTATAAGGTCAGTAGATCGAGACCATCCTGGCCAACATGATGAAACCCCATCTCTACTGAAAATACAAAAAATAAAATAAAATAGCTGGGCGTGGTGGCACGTGCCTGTAATTCCAGCTACTCAGGAGGCTGAGGCAAGAGAATTGCTTCAACCAGGAAGTCAGAGGTTGCAATGAGCCAAGATCACACCACTGCACTCCAGCCTGGCGACAGAGCAAGTCTCCATCTCAAAAAGAAAAAGTGTATTTATAGCACTAAAAATGAAAGACATCGCTTAAGGTGAAAAGTAAAGAAAAAAGAGAAAAGAAAGGGACTGTGGCTAGGCACAGGGTCTCACGCCTGTAATCCCAGCACTCTGGGAGGCTGAGGTGGGTGGATCATCTGAGGTCAGGAGTTTGAGACCCGACTGACCAATACGGTAAAATCCCATCTCTACTAAAAATACAAAAATTAGCCAGACATTAATGGCGGGTACCTGTAATCCCAGCTACTCAGGAGGCTGAGGCAGAAGAATCGCTTGAACCCAGGAGGGAGAGGTTGCAGTCAGCCGAGATCGTGCCACTGCACTCCAGCCTGGGCGACAGAGTAAGACTTTCTAAAAATAAATAAATAATAAATAATAAAAATTTTAAAAGGTAGAATAGCACAGTGGCAGGGGATAGAGTACGGGAGTTAAGTTCAAGGAATTTATTTATATAGTATGGAACAGAAGAGCATGTTTGTGTTGCTATTGCGAATGACCCAATAGAGAGAGACAGATTAATTATCCCAGACAGAAGAACAGTGATGCCACACTCTTATTGTTCTGGGGGTAGCCACTGTTGCTTAGCAACCTGTGTTTAATGTTTCAGCTGAATTCCTAATCAATGGCCATTTCAACTTATGCCAATGGTTCTTATCACTAGGGTTCCTGCTTTACTTATTTCCAACTCTGAAACCAGACGCTCAGGTTTTTACTTCCTTGTACTGTTGATGATGTATGCATTTTTTGTTTGTTTATTTGTTTGAGACGGAGTCTCACTCCATCGTCCTGACCTCAGGGGATCTACCCGCCTCAGCCACCCAAAGTGCTGGGATTACAGGTGTGAACCACCACACCTGGCCTTTTCTTTTGAGAGGGAGTTTTGCTCCTGTTGCCCAGGCTGGAGTACAATGATACCTCTCTGCTCTGGGGCCCCCCAAAACCTCCACCTCCCGGGTTCAAGTGATTCTCATGCCTCAGCCTCCCGGGTAGCTGGGACTATAGGCATGTGTCACCATGATGGCTAATTTTTTTTTTTTTTTTTTTTTTGAGACGGAGTTTCACTCTTGTTACCCAGGCTGGAGTGCAATGGCGCGATCTCGGCTCACCACAACCTCCGCCTCCTGGGTTCAGGCAATTCTCCTGCCTCAGCCTCCTGAGTAGCTGGGATTACAGGTACACGCCACCATGCCCAGCTAATTTTTTGTATTTTTAGTAGAGACGGGGTTGACCAGGATGGTCTCGATCTCGACCTCGTGATCCACCCCCCTCGGCCTCCCAAAGTGCTGGGATTACAGGCTTGAGCCACCGCGCCCAGCCTATTTTTTTTTTAAACAGAGTTTAATTCTTGTTGCCCAGGCTGGAGTGCAATGGCTCAATCTCGGCTGACTGCAACCTCCACCTCCCAGCTTTAAGTTATTCTTCTGCCTCGGCCTCCCAAGTAGCTGGGACTACAGGCATATGCCACCACACTGAGCTAACTTTTTGTATTTAGTAGAGGTGGTGTTTCACCATGTTGCTCAGGCTGGTCTCAAACTCCTGACCTCAGGTGATCCACCTCAGCCTCCCAAACTGCTGGGATTACAGGCGTGAGCCATGGCATGCAGCTTTTTGTTAAAACGGAATCTTGCTTTGTCACCCAGGCTGGAGTGCAGTGGCATAATCCTGCCTCACTGCAACCTCCACCTCTGAGGTTCAGGCGATTATCCTGCCTCAGTCTCTGGAGTAGCTGGAACTACAGGCATGTGCCACCACACTGGGTTAATATTTTGTTGCTGTTTTTTTATATATAGAGATGGGGTTTCACTATGTTGGCCAGGCTGGTCTTGAACTCCTGATCTCAGGTGATTCACTCACCTCTGCCTCCCAAAGTGCTGATATTACAGGTGTGAGCTACCATGCCTGGCTATATTTGTATTTTTCTTAGTAGAAACAGGGTTTCGCCATCTTGGCCAGGGTGGTCTAGAACCCCTGACCTCAAGTGATCCTCCCGCCTTGGCTTCCTAATGTGCAAGGATTGCAGGTGTGAGCCACCATGCCTGGCTGATGATAAACGCATTGGGATGTGAAAAATGATATCACAGAGAAGACAAATTGAGGGACTCTCAGTCAATCTTAAAGAGACACTGCCAACAATTACAGGATGTGGATCTCCAGTTCAGGGCTCTCCTCTGAGCTCCAACTGCGATCTTGCCCCTTTCTCCTCTGTCTCACAGGCATCTCAGACTAAGCAAAACTCTTCTCTCCATTCAACCACCAAAACTCACTCATGCCTCCAATAGTTTTCACCATTACAGAACATGGTGCCACCATCCACCCATCTGAGGTTTCCCTCAGAGTCATTCTGGATTCCTCCCCCTTCCAGATGCCACCTGTACAATTAATTACTGCCTCCAATATAATTCTCAAATCCATCTAACATTTCTGCATGTCCTCTGCCTCTGCCCTGGTCTAAGCTACCATCATCCTTCTCCTAGATCATTACAAAAACCCTCTTTTGTATCTTATTTTTATTGATTTATTTTAGTTTTTAGTTTTAGGGTTTTTTTTGTTTGTTTTTGTTTGAGACACAGTCTCCCTCTGTTGCCCAGGCTGGAGTGCAATGGCAATTTCTTGGCTCACTGCAGCCTCCACTTCCCGGGTTCCAGCAATTCTCCTGCCTCAGCCTCCTGAGTAGCTGGGATGACAGGCGCCTGCCACCATGCCCGGCTACTTTTTGTATTTCTTTTTTTTTCTTTTTCTTTTTTTTTTTTTTGAGACGGAGTTTCGCTCTTGTTACCCAGGCTGGAGTGCAATGGCGCGATCTCGGCTCACCGCAACCTCCGCCTCCTGGGTTCAGGCAATTCTCCTGCCTCAGCCTCCTGAGTAGCTGGGATTACAGGCACACGCCACTATGCCCAGCTAATTTTTTGTATTTTTCGTAGAGACGGGGTTTCACAATGTTGACCAGGATGGTCTCGATCTCTTGAACTCGTGATCCACCCACCTCAGCCTCCCAAAGTGCTGGGATTACAGGCTTGAGCCACCACGCCCGGCCCCAAAAAAATTTTTTTTAAGATAGAGGTGTCTAAAAGGTCTTTGGCAGCTCAATTTGAAAACAACAGGTTGATATACTGTAAAATAAGATGTTTCAGTGTAGCTCCAAAAACTTTTATAAATACAGCCATTTGGAAGGACGATCCCAGATTAAAAATTATTCCTTGTGCATCTACATTATGTGCATGTCTCATTTCAGTTGTCACAATTGTCTCTATAATTTCCTCCTGAGTAGTGGTCATAACCACCCTGGTTTCTGCCATTATAGTCTCTGGAACTGGAGCGTCCATATCCATATCCATACCCTCCAGGTCGACTGTCATAATACCTGCCACTCCCATAGCCCTGGTCCCCACCACCGCTAGAGCAGCTGCGACCATGCCCATGGGCCCCAAAGGCACCTCCTCTAGTTCCCCGAGCAGACTTGCCTGCGTGATCCACACGGATCTGACGACCATCCAGGGACTCTCTGTTCATGGCTCTCATGGCAACTGAAGCAAGCTCTGGGTTGGTGAAGGTGATGAAACCAAAACCCCTGGACCGCTGAGTCTCCCGGTCCTTGACAACGACCACCTCAGAGATAGGCTCGAAGCTGCTAAAGTGGTCTTCCAGTGCCTGCTCATTGTTGTTAAAGTTGAGCCCCCGTACGAAAAGCTTTCCTTCTTCAGAGGACACGGCAGCAAGTTCAGGTCCCGGAAATTAAAATGTAAAAAAGCCAAACACACAGAGAGGTCAGAAGAGCAGAGAAAACAGGGCTTTTTTTTTTTTTTTTTTTTTTTTTGAGACAGAGTCTCACTCTGTTACCCAGGCTGGAGTGCAGTGGTGCAGTCTCAGCTTACTGTAACCTCTGCCTCCTGGGTTCAAGCAATTTTACCACCTCAGCCTCCTGAGTAGCTGGGCTTACAGGCACACACCACCATGCCTGGCTCATTTTTATATTTCTAGTAGAGATGGCGTTTCACCATGTTGGTCAGACTGGTCTATTGGTTAGGCAACTCCTGACCTCATGACTCACCCACCTTGGCCTCCCAAAGTCCTGGGATTAAAGCCCTGAGCCACCGCACCCGGCCTAATTTTTGTATTTTTAGTAGAGACAGGGTTTCACCATATTGGCCAGGCTGGTCTCGAATTCCTCACCTCAGGTTATCCACCCACCTTGGCCTCCCAAAGTGCTGGGATTACAGGCATGAGCCACCTCACCTAGCCTATTATTCATTTTTTAAAATTTATTTTAATTTTTTTTTTTTTGAGACAGAGTCTTGCTCTGTCACCCAGGCTGCAGTACAGATGACCTCCGCCTCTAAGGTTCAAGCAATTCTCCTGCCTCAGCCTCCTGAGTAGCTGGGATTACAGGCATAAGCCACCACACCTAGCTAATTTTTTTTTTGGTAATTTTAGTAAACATGGGGTTTTACCATGTTGGTCATCCTGGTCTCGAACTCCTGACCTCAGGTGATCTGTCCGCCTTGGCCTCCCAAAGTGCTGGGATTACAGGTGTGAGCCACTGTGCCCAGACTATTATTATTATTATTATTATTATTATTATTTTTATTATTATTTTTTTTTTAGACGGAGTTTCGCTCTTGTTACCCAGGCTGGAGTGCAATGGCGCGATCTCGGCTCACCGCAACCTCCGCCTCCTGGGCTCAGGCAATTCTCCTGCCTCAGCCTCCTGAGTAGCTGAGATTACAGGCACGTGCCACCATGCCCAGCTGATTTTTTGTATTTTTAGTAGAGACGGGGTTTCACCATGTTGACCAGGATGGTCTCGATCTCTTGACCTCGTGATCCACCCGCCTCAGCCTCCCAAAGTGCTGGGATTACAGGCTTGAGCCACCGCGCCCGGCACCAGGCTGGACATTTATATCATTGAGCATAAGAATATTCCAGTTTCTGCTGGGCACGGTGGCTCACAACTGGAATCCCAGCACTTTGGGAAGCTGAGGCAGGTGGATCACAAGATCAGGAATTCGAGACCAGCCTGGTCAAGATGATGAAACCCTGTCTCTACGAAAAAATACAATTAGTCGGGCGTGGTGGCAGACACCTGTAATCCCAGCTACTTGGGAGGCTGAGGCAGAGAATTACTTGAACCCGGGAGGCGGAGGTTACAGTGAGTTGAGATCCTGCCACTGCACTCCAGCCAGGGCATCACAGCGAGACTCCGTCTCAAAATAAAATAATACAAATGATTTTAAAAAAGAAAAGGACTTCCTCTCTTCCTTTCTCCGCCATCGTGGTGTGTGCTTTACTCCGTTTCCCGCCATGTCGTCTCACAAGACTTTCAGGATTAAGCGATTCCTGGCCAAGAAACAAAAGCAAAATCGTCCCATTCCCCAGTGGATTCGGATGAAAACTGGTAATAAAATCAGGTACAACTCCAAAAGGAGACACTGGAGAAGAACCAGGCTTGGTCTGTAAGAAATCACACATGCGATGGCACACGTATCCATGCTGTCCGAAGGTCACAATCGAGTGCTACTAAACCAAGCTATCGGGAGACGTTTGAATAGATTCCTTTCTGTATCTGTTATGAAGGCATTAGTTAGTACAACCCACAGTGCTTCCATTATTCATGTTTAAAAAAAAAAAAAGGTTTTGGTTGCCTGGGTTCAGTAATAAATATGTGAGACCTTTCACTTCTAAAAAAAAAAAAAAAAAAAAGAAAAGGAAAAAAAATAATATTACAGTTTCTGGCCGCGCGCGGTGGCTAATGTCTGTAATCCCAGCACTTTGCGAGGCCGAGGTGGGCAGATCACCTGAGGTCAGGGGTTTGAGATCAGCCTGGCCAACATGGAGAAACCCCGTCTCTACTAAAAATTCAAAATTAGCCGAGAGTAGTGGCACGCGCCTGTAATCCCAGCTATTCGGGAGGCTGAGGCAGAAGAATCACTTGAACCTGGGAGGCAGAGGTTGCAGTGAGTCGAGTTCGCACCACTGCACTCCAGCCTGGACAAAAGAGCGAGACTTCGTCTCAAGAAAACACACACACACGGCATCCCAGTTTCTTTTTTCTTTCTTTTCTTTTCTTTTCTTTTTTTTTTTTGAGACGGAGTTTCACTCTTGTCACCCAGGCTGGAGTGCAATGGCGCGATTTCAGCTCACTGCAACCTCCGCCTCCTGAGTAGCTGGAATTACAGGCACGCGCCACCATGCCCAGCTAATGTTTTTTTTTTTTTTTTTTTTTTTTTTTTTTTTTTTTTTTTTTTTTTTTGAGACGGAGTTTCGCTCTTGTTACCCAGGCTGGAGTGCAATGGCGCGATCTCAGCTCACCGCAACCTCTGCATCCTGGGTTCAGGCAATTCTCCTGCCTCAGCCTCCTGAGTAGCTGGGATTACAGGCACGCACCATCATGCCCAGCTAATTTTTTGTATTTTTAGTAGAGACGGGGTTTCACCATGTTGACCAGGATGGTCTCGATCTCTTGAGTTCGTGATCCACCCGCCTCGGCCTCCCAAAGTGCTGGGATTACAGGCTTGAGCCACCGCGCCCGGCCTCCTTTTCTTTTTTAAAAAATCTGGAGTATTCTAGTTTCTGCCTGAGTTGGAAATGAATTCCTCTGCTATGCATCCGAGCAAAAGGCCACCTTAAATGTCTAACCCGGGAAAGTACAAGGTTTTTCCTGGAATCTGGAACAGTGACTATTATAAGTGCGCAATAACCGTTTAGTGAAGACTAGAGGTGAAGTCAAGAGGTTGGCCTAATTGGAACAGTTGGGGTGAGGCGCGCCAGGGCCGGCGCCGCTGATTTACACGTCGCTACGGTAACGCCCCACCCTGCACACCCAGAGCGAACTACAATTCCCACAACCGCCCGCGGCTTTCCCGCCCACAGGGAGGGAAGGGCGTAAGCAGGCACGGCACCGGCTTTTTCTCCTTCCTGCAGCGTGATTGGCCCGCGACTCAGGGAGGCGGCCAATCACTTATCTCACGGAGGGCAACGAGGCCAATATGGCTTCCTGCACTTGGTGACGCTTGGAGAAACTGAATTAGGTCTCATGGAGAAGCCCTCGCGTAATGAGGTGAGAGGGAGAGGGCTTAGCGTAACTGGGATAGAGAACCCCGAGAGCCTCGCTCCGTGGACCCTTCTTGAGGCCTTTTAGCGACGCCTGGAGGGTGGAGGGTGGAAGGATGGATAAACTGAGATCGTTAAAGTGAGCCAGGACCAGAGGCGATTGGCTTTACTTTTTGTTCCTTTACTGCTGGGGCCAACGTTCGGCAAGGCGTTCAGGGAGGAACAAGAGTCCCTGACCTGGGTGAAGGGGAACTAGGTTTAGGATCTGAGAGCTGAATTTTCTTTGTCCTCTTTGTCTCGTGGCCGTGTTCTTTAGGGCTTGTGAGGCCTGTTACATGAGGTGGGAAGTGAAGGGAGATTAAAGTTGAGTGAACACTCCTTGTCTGTAACGTTCACGTGCATCATCTTCCAGTACACCCACAGCAATCCTTTATTACTCTTTCTTCTTTGTCGTTCAAGCCACTGAGGCGTAGAGGTGGTGCGACGCCCCAGGAAGTTACCCCAGGTGGAAAGTGAAGGAGGTTGACATTAAGTCGGTCCACCTCCAAAACTTTGCCCGTTATGCAGTCCCACTGTACTGCAATCTGGACTCCACTCGTTTTTTTTTTTGTTTGTTTTTTGAGACAGAGTCTTGCTTTGTCGCCCAGGCTGGAGTCTAGTGGCGCGATATCGGCTCACTGGAACCGATCTCCTGGGTTCAAGCAATTCTCCTCTCTCCCCCTCTCGAGTAGCTGACATTACAGGGATGCCCCACCACACCTGGCTAATTTTTGTATTTTTAGTAGAGACTAAGTGTCACCATGTTGGTCCGACTGGTCTCAAACTCTTGACCTCAGGTGATCTGCCCACCTTGGCCTCCCAAAGTGCTGGGATTACAGGTGTGAGCCACGGCACCCGGCCTCATCCTTTAATCATTTGGCTTCTAGGCACCTTATATTTTTAAGAGACGGGGTGTCCCTATGTTGCCCTGGCTGGAGCGCAGTGGCTACTTACAGGCATGACAACACATGGCAGCCTCGAACTCTTGGGCTCAAGCAATCTTCGCACCTCACACTCCCAAGTAGCTGCGACTACAGGTGGTCTCTGCCAACCTGCCTGACAAGGGTACCTATATTTGAATTGTTTCCTTTCTAGCATATTTGCATGTGTAGTTGCAAATATAAAGTGGAATAGCTCAAACATTCTGCAAGGGTAAACAGAATAATAATGTGGAGAAGAATAGCAAGTCACACTTTTAAAGCTGTTATTGACTGCTGGAAATAGAACTAGGCTTTACATATCTTATCTCAGTCTTCATAATGATTCTCTAAAGAAAGATTATCTCGTAACCATGAAGAAACTGAGGGCAGCAAGATAAAAAATGCACAAAATCACACAGTAAGAGATAGAACCACTATTCAATCCCAGGCAAACCAGAGTCTATGCTTTCAACCAGCAAGAATTGGCAACCTTTATTGACCACTCACTATATGCAAGTGACTTTTTTTTTCTTTTTTTCACTGAAACAGAGTTTCACTCTATTACCAAGCTGGAGTGCAGTGGCTGGATCTTGCTTCACTGCAGTCTCTGCCTCCTGGGTTCAAGCCATTCTCCTGCCTCAGCCTCCCAAGTAGCTGGGATTACAGGCTACCACACCCAGCTAGTTTTTGTATTTTTAGTAGAGATGGGATTTCACCATATTGGCC